ATAGCAACTAGTATTCAGAAGCATTCCTTCTGTAGAATTACTGCCTACAGCCAGAATGCGGCAGCTAGACTGGTGACTGGGAGTGGCCGCCAAGACCATATAACACCGGTCCTGAAAGACCTACATTGGCTCCCAGTACGTTTCGAGCACAGTTCAAAGTGTTGGTGTTGACCTTTAAAGCCCTAAACAGCCTCGGTCCAGTATACCTGAAGGAGCAACTCCACCCCCATCGTTCTGCTCAGACACTGAGGTCCAGCACCGAGAGACTTCTGGCGGTTCCCTCACTGCGAGAAGCAAAGCTACAGGGAACCAGGCAGAGGGCCTTCTCAGTAGTGGTGCCCGCCCTGTGGAACGCCCTCCCATCAGGTGTCAAAGAGATAAACAACTATCTGACATTTAGAAGACTTCTGAAGGCAGCCCTGTTCAAGGAAGTTTTTAATGTGTGACATTTTAATGTATTTTTAATCTCTGTTGGAAGCCGCCCAGAGTGGCTGGGGAGGCCCAGCCAGATGGGCGAGGTACAAATAATAAATTGTTGTTGTTGTTGTTATTATTATTATTATTATTAGCGACAGAGCATAGTCGTTGTGGCGAGTAACTCTTGATAGCCTTCTCCTCCATGAATTTGTCCAATCCTCTTTTAAAGCCACCCAACGACGGATCTACACTGGCTGTTTATATCATTAAAAATGTGTTACAGTGGTACCTTGGTTCTCAAACGCCTTGTTATTCAAACAACTTGGAACCCAAACACTGCAAACCTGGAAATAAGTGTTCTGGTTTACAAACCTTTTTCAGAACCCAAACATGCTCCATTTTGAGTGTTACGCTTCCGATTTGAGGGCCACACTTCTGTTTTGAGGGCCACACTTCCATTTTGAGTGTTACGCTGAGGTCTGCCTGTTTTTGCTATTTATTTTGCGTTTTTGTTTTTGTGGCTGTGTGGAACCCAGTTCAGCTACAGATTGATTGATTGATTGATTGATTGATTGTGTGACTGCAGTACATTGTTTATTGCTTTCATTTTATGGATCAATGGTCTCGTTAGATAGTAAAATTCATGTTAAATTGCTGTTTTAGGGGTTGTTTTTAAAAGTCTAGAACGGATTAATGCCAGGGGTCAGCAAACTTTTTCAGCAGGGGGCCAGTTCACTGTCCCTCAGACCTTGTGGGGGGCCAGACTATTTTTTTTGGGGGGGGATGTATGAATCCCTATGCCCCACAAATAACCCAGAGATGCATTTTTTTAAAAAGCACACATTCTACTCATGTAAAAATACTCTGATTCCCAGACCGTCCACGGGCCGGATTTAGAAGGTGATTGGGCTGGATCCGGCCCCTGGGCCTTAGTTTGCCTACCCATGGATTAATCCATTTTGCATTACTTTCTATGGGAAAGTGCGCCTTGGTTTTGGAATGCTTTGGTTTTGGAATGGACTTCCAGAACGGATTAAGTTTGAGAACCAAGGTACCACTGTATTAAAATGTGACACCAGACGGTGCTGTAGAGCAGTGAGCCTTCGACAATGGAAAACTTCATTGAAAGTTATATAATGTTATACTTCATAACGTTTTTACAGATCAGTGTAGATACAGCCCAAGTACGTGGCCAGCACTGCTTCCTTTGCATTGTGTGGAGAAGCACTTTCTTTTATCTGTCTTTTATCTACCAGCATTCAGCTTCGCTGAGGGTTCACAAGTTCTGATGTTACGACAGAGGGAGAAAAACTAGTCTCTATCAACTTTCTCCACCCAACACATATTTTTATAAACTTCTGCAAGAGAACATAAGAAGATCCTGCTGGATGAAGACAAAGACCCATCAGGTCCAGCTTCCTGTTCTCACAGAGGCCATCCAGATACCTGCAGGAAACCTTCAAGCAGGACCCAACTGCAAGAGCTCCTGTAGTTTCCAGCAACTAGGATTCAGAAGCACTACTGCTCCCCCCAGAGGCGTAGCAAGGCCAGGTGGTACCAGGTGCAAAAAAAAAAAAAAAATTGGCACCCCCCTCCACACACATTGCAATTTTTGGGAATGTTGACCAACGTTGTTGAGCTTTTCTTTTTAGAGAGGGTTGTTTTTAGGGAGGGCCAGCTGGGGGTGCGAGCACTGCCCGCCGGGGGTGCCAGCGCCACCTGCCAATCATGAAAATCCAACCACCGATCGCATAAAACTGCCTGCCGGGGATGCAAGCGCCACCCGCCGGGGGGTGCCAATCTGATCGCTGGCCATATTTGCGAAACAGTGGGCGGATTTTCATGACAATGAACACGCCAATCCCAAAAATCCACCCGCCCGGGGGGGGGGGCGAGTGCTGCCACGCCGTTTTGCCCAGGGGAATTTTGTCACACACACCCCAGGCATGACACCCGGGGTGAACCACACACCCCACATCCCCCTTGCCACCAATCATGGAGACAAACCATCGCCATCATGGCTAGGAGTCCTTGTTAAAGCGTAAGAGCCTTGGCAGTAAAAAGTGAAAACCACTATTAAACAACACACACACACACTGCCTTTGTCTTGTCCTGACTCATCTTCTCGTTTTCATTTTGTCCACCCAGTTCACCCATCACATCCAATTTCTCACACTAGATTGGCATGCATCACGTATGTTCAGCCAACCACATGGGGGAGTGCTGTGATGGTCTGTGTTTGCATGTGTTCTGGCATGTTCGGTATGTCACATGATGCTCCAAAGTCGTAGGTGGAGGCCAATGAATCAGGTTAGGTGCTCAATCAGATTAGGTGCTGAATCACAGTTCCTGACTGTGCTGAGTCACACGCAGTCAGCCCCATTCTTTCCATGATGCAGAATCATCCGCACTAATCCTGGAGGTGGAGCAGGGACCACCTTAGCAACAAGGGACCACTCCTACACCTGAGTCACCTTGTTGCATTGTGGAGTTGCCAATTTTTCCTATGGTTTTTGCTGCACCTCTAAAAAACTGTTTCATTTACAGGCATTAGCAGAAGACAAACTTTTCTCTTTATACTACAAAAAGCTCCACTAGGAAGCTTCTGCAGATAAAGCTGTTCCTAAATCAGAACTATACCTTTCCAACATTATCTCCCTCCCTCCTTTTTATCACTTAAATTCAGAATGAGCAGGGGAGCAGCTGAGGAGAGTTGATTCCTGGATTTTCAGAAGCTGTCACAGTTTCTAATTTGATCCCAGAATGTCCTGCTTTTTCTTGGGACATCCCTATTTTCATCGGAGAAATGGTGGAGGGTATGGAGTTATGCAACCCCCAAGCCAAGGAGATAAGTAACTAGGCAGAAAACCAGGCAGAGGGCCTTCGCAGTAGTGACACCCGCCCTGTGGAACACCCTCCCATCAGATGTCAAGGAAATAAACAACTATCTAACTTTTAGAAGACATCTGAAGGCAGCCCTGTTTAGGGAAGTTTTTAATGTTTGATGTTTTATTGTGTTTTTAATATTCTGTTGGGAGCTGCTCAGAGTGGCTGGAGAAACCTAGCCAGATGGGCGGGGTATATATAATAGAATAATAAAATAGTAATACAACCTTTAGAAGATATCTGAAGGCAGTCCTGTATAGGGAAGTATTTTTTCAATGTTTAATGTTTTATTATGTTTTTTTATATAGGTTGGATGCCACCCAGAGTTACTGGGGCAACTCAGTCAGATGGGCAGGGTATATCTATATCATCATCATCATTAAATAAGATATCCATATTTTCATCTGAGAAATGTTGGAGGGTATGCTATAGCTGAAATACCAGTTTCTGGAAGCTGCAGTGTGGAGAGAGTGTGTTTTTGTGCTCGAATCCTGCTTGCAAGTTGGCCACTGTGAGAACAGGATGCTGGACAAGACGGGCCATAGGCCTAATCCAGCAGGTTCTTATGTTCCTGTCAGAAGCCCCTGCCACAAATGGAAGCAGACTGTGATGGCCTGGGACTCGGGTTCGGATTCGGAGACAGAGGAGTCTCAGTCCACACTGGATCCTTTGCCCCAGGCGGCATCTGAACCTATTCTGGGGCCTGATTCCGAAGAGCTCCAGTCTGCACAGGTTCCCCTGCAACAAGCACCAGCTGGGCCGAGTCAGGGGCCTGAGTCTGCCCTGGCTCCAGATGAGGGGATTACCTCATTGCCTTCAGCTGGGCAATCACTTACAGCTGCTCCACTACCGGTTGGGTCAGGAGAGGCTGAGGCGGCCTCTGGGTCTAGTAACCCACCGACATCTCCCAAGCTGCAGAGAGTGAGGTGTGAGAGGAGAGACCTGAGTACTCGCAGGAGGAGTGCTTGCCTTCGGGCAAGACATGGAGGTGAGTCACTGGGGGACCAGGACCAGCCCTTACCCTGACAGAGATAAAAGGCTGGTGGACCCCGCCCCAGGTTGTGGGAGCAATGTTGCTGTTTGCCAGAACCTGCCTGTGATCCTGTGCCTGACCTTGCCTGCTTTCCTGCCTCGTGTCCTGCCTTGGCCCTGTCAGACTGACTCCTCGCGGAACCCTTGGATTTGGGACCGGACCTGGATCGCGTTACATGGGTTACCCCCGGGCCCAGCAGACAGACCTTCCAACCGCCCCCCTCTCCCAATGCTGCACCACTCAAGGAGACAGTGGAACTCCTTATCCGGGTAGCCTTACGACAGCATCTTCTGTAACCTCTGCAAGAGCGGTGCTTTCTCCAGGTCCCGCTCACTGCCCAGACTTGCCCACAATTATCTTCCCCTGCCTCGAAGCCCTGGGCTAACAGCATCAAAAGAGATCCCACAACTGGCTCTTCAGGTTTCCCCGATGGAGACACCTTCCCAATAACCGGCCTTAAAATGCTGAGGAAGGGAAGTGATGGGCCCTGGGCTGGAGAGGAAACATGAAGAAAGGAGGGCGGAGGGCGGGGTGGAGTGGAGATGCTTTGGGCCATCATCGAAATACTGAGCAACGCAGCTTAGAGGAGGTGTGTCTCATGGGGGAGCCTGAGACGCCCCGCCCAAGCTGTCTGCTCATATTTAATGTCTTAGCTTCATCCTTCAGACATTGACTGCAGCAAGACGCACCCAGCACAGGTGGGAAAGATCTGAAACAAGGCCTGGAGGACTTACCGAGCAGAGCAATGGGCACTCACTTTCTCCTCCATGCATCTGTCTTTCTAGTGGCGGTGACATTCTTCATGAAAGGTAGGGGTGATAGAAGACTCATTCGTTTGGCTGTGACAACAGGATCATGCCAACATGGAACCCCATAGAATCTGGGGTGGGCCTGGATGGGTGGCAATGCTGTAGAATGGGGGGCCCAGGATGATGAAGTCAGGTAGGGTCTCTCTTGTAGGATCTGTGAAAAGTGTATGTTTCATCATGATCTCTGTAGGGGGAAATAGGAATTGAAAATATCAATAGCAGAGTGTCTGGCATGAGAAGGAGAAAGAGCCTATCGCCTGTATTATGGAAGATGCGATTGAGGGACATGAATGTGCATTGCCTGCATTTGTACATCACATACGCCTATTTACATGCCTAAATCTTACAGAGGACTAAAGAAACCCTCCAGATTTCAGCTGATATGACTCAGTTGACTCATTGATAAACACTGCATCAATAATATAAAAAGCCTGAGGGAATCAGGCCAATGGCCCATGCAGTCTAGCATCCTGGCCTCACAGTGGCCACCCAGATACTTGTGAGAAACTGGCAAGCAGGAACTGAGCAGTTGCCCCTCCAGTAGCTTCCTGAAACTGGTAATCAGAGGAGGCAGCTAATAGTAATCATGGTATAGCATGTAGTAATCATGGCAATCTAAAGATAAAGCACACCTTGTGTTTAGATAACGCATACATGCGACACTGAAAGCTTTATCTTAGACGACGCATTTCCTGTTTAGGAAGATAATGCCTCCAGTAATGGCGGGGGGTGCAGGGAAGCACAGATCTGGGACTTTTTTCAGAGCAGGAGTGATGATGGCACCTGTCACCTGGGTACCAGAGTAACCTAGGGACTTTCCTTGCTCCAACAAGTGAATGAGGCGATAACAAGGCTTTCAAGTTGTTTGTGACAGATTAGCACAGAGGAAGTCAGAGAACGAGATTCAAACAGATATTTCTTTTATTTTCTGTGGGGTTCTTAACTCGTGCTAGCAGTTTCATTGCTTTGAGCATGAGCTAAACACTTCATTGCAGCTGAATAGGGGTCTTTTGTGGACGATTATTGTGTTTTACAAGTCAAACCTATGTAGTCTTACTCTGTGAAGACTATGCATAATAATCCACTGGACATTATGCTATTGCTGTGTATGCAACATGCACACACGCATCTATACCAACCTATCTATCATGGGTCAAGACCTGCATCAGGGAAGGACTGTGGCTTAGTGGTAGAGCATCTGTTTTGCATGCAGGAGGTTCCTGAGTTCATTTTATGGCATCTCTAAGTAGGTCTGGGAGAGAAAATCTGGAGGGATGCTGCCAGCCTGTGTGGACAATGCTGAGCTAGGTGGACCAATGGTCCCACTCTGTATAAAGCTTCTCTGCTCCATTTTTTTACTCTGTCATGAAAACTTGATGAGAATAATAAGGTTGTTGCACTTCATCATTTAACACTACTGAAGGACACATAAGATGGAGCTTGCAGCCCACAGCCACATTAACACAATTTACTTGTTAAAATAAAAACATGTGGCCTTATGAACTGGGAGCACCTTTTTAACCTCTCAAAATGTTAGCCACCAATGAGTCTAACCACCTCACAGGAGAACTTGTATCCTTAATTATGGCTCTGGTCTGGGCCATAATTACCCTTGGCTAGTCTTATGCAACCTCTTCTTGATGTAGGAGAAGCTGTTGTCTGCTCTCAAGGATGGTATGTAAGTGGCTACTGCAGTTTGACTTGGTAGACCTGGGTTCAGATCTCTCCTAGCTCTTAAGCTTGTTGTGAGGCATTAGGCCAAGGGCAGGGAACCAGTCCCTTGCCCTCAAATGTTTTGGGACTCCCAGCTCCCATCAGCCTCAGCCATCTCAGTCAATCTCAGGGATGATGGGAGATAGAGTTCAACAACATCCACAAGTTCCTCGCCTTATCACAATTTCTCTGCCTAACCTACCTCACAGGGTTGCTGTGAGGATAAATTGGGAGGATTGCCTCATGTCTGTCACCATGAGCTTCTTAAAAGAAGGGTGGAACGTAAGGCTGGTAATTAAACAGCCCTGACCGAGGGCACAATATGGAGACGATTGGCTTAGGTTTCTTTTCCCAACCCATCACAAAGGCCCATCGGGGCTGGTTGTGAATCCATCCAAGGGTTTCATTTTATCCTCATCACATCTTTGGGAACGCCAAGAGGTGTGGCGAAAGCAGGAAGCCATGAAACAAGCGCAGACTTGTTCCAGTGTACGGTCTGAAGGCACCCAAGGCCACCACCTTGCTGGAACTATGCAGGTCTGCCTCTGGTCAGGGCCTGGATGGGAGCATAGCTGTCAACTTTCCCCCTTTCTTGTGGGGAATCCTATTCAGAATAAGGAAATTTCCCTTTTAAAAAGGGAAACGTTGACAGCTATGGATAGGAGTCTGCCTCAAAAACAACATGTCTGCCACTTTGGGTTCCATGATGGAAGAAAGGCAGGATACAAATGAAAGGGAGGAAATACCTGAGCTTATCAGGCTGGACCTAACAATCCTAAAAGGGCGCTGAACATCTGTAGTGTCCATCCATGTGTGAGGAGAATTTTACCACAAAACATCTGGAGGAGCGAAAGCCTGCCAAGATTCTCCTCACCAGCAGAAGCTACAGCTCCCAACATGGCTAAGTTAGGCTCTCCTCAACAGGGCAAGTGCAAGGCATTGCACTACCTCTGTCTCTGCCCTATTCCCCTCCTTTTCCTCTCCTCTCCTGATCCCTTCCCTGCTTTTGCCATCACAAAAGAACCAATGATGGTTCTTCCCTCCCTCCGTGTCTTGCTTCAAGAAGGGCCATGGGGGTCCTTCCACAGTGTGAGGCATTCTGGGCAAGGGGGCTGGGAGACATTTTGTGCCCTTCCAATGTTTACATGGTACTTGAGGCTTTCCCCTCCCTATGTTTAAAGAGTGTTTATAGCGACCATTGAAAAAAACCACAATGGCAGCACAGACACTGGTGGAGGGCGGGGGCAGCAGTGCCCGGAAGTCAATGATGCAAGCAATTGGGAGGTCCTGGGGTGGGGTGCCAGTTCAGATACAGTGGTATGCTTCAGGTTACAGACTCCGCTAACCCAGAAATAGTACCTCAGGTTAAGAACTTTGCTTCAGGATGTGAACAAAAAGCGCGCGGTGTTGGTGTGGCAGCGGGAGGCCCCATTAGCTAAAGTGGTACCTTAGGTTAAGAACAGTTTCAGGTTAAGAATGGATCTCCAGAACGAATTAAGTTCTTAACCCGAGGTACCACTGTACTTGCCACCCGAGGCAACTGTTGCAGCTTCCCTCATGAAAGGACCTGCCCTGCCCCTCAATAAGTTACAGCTTGGCCATTTGTATTGAGTGCCATACAGAGAGAGACAGCTGAGGACAGCTTTCAGCTTAGGCCACTCATGGTCAAACCCAGCCTGTCCTCTTCTGTTTAAATGTCAAAGAGAAAAAGTCAAGGTCAAGAAGGAGTCTATAATTACGCCTGTGGCCTGTTTGAATAGATTATTTGTAAATAAAAAATGAAAGCAGCATTTTTGACAGTTCCAGGGGTTTTTTTCCCAAGAGGCGGACTTGTAAAAGGAACCTTCCATGGGCCACACTGAGTTTGCATGTCTACAGACTCACTGTTGCCAGCTGCTGTGGCTTCTCTACCTCCTCACTGCTGCCAACTGTTTGCTTGCCAAGTAGAGCCAATGAGCCGCCAGGCAGTGGCAACTGCATCCCTTCTTCCTCACCCCTTGCTTGCTCTTGACCTCTGGGCCTGAGTGAGAGACACGTGACAAATCAGGTCACTATGGTGAGGAGGAGACGGAGGGAGTCCAGAAGCGTTTTGCCAGTGGCCTTCCTGCTGCAATGTGGGTTCTCAGCAGCTGCCCAATCTCACTGGCATTAAATGGGGCCAAACATGTATTTATCTGTCGCATTTATACCCCACCTTTCCTCCAAGGAGCTCCAGGTAGCATACAGAGTTTTCTTCTCACAACAGCCCTGTAGGGTAGGCTAGGGTGGGAGAGAGTGATTGATTGGCCCAAGGTCACGCAGTGAGCTTCATGGCTGAGTGGGGATTGGAACTCTGTTCTCTGAAGCCCCAGCACAACACTCTAACCACTTCTCTGCACTGGCTCTTCACTAGCCATTACAAAGAAACCTGTCTGCATGCTCTCCCCGGGGGCTTCTCACCTGGTGTCTAATCTGATGAGTTTCAGGCACCAGACTAAGAGTTTTATTTGACTGGGCATTTAATGAACAGAAAGTTTGATGTTGCCATTTGAGGCTTTATTGACAGGGGTTGTGGTTTACTGATGCTAACTGTTTCTTCTCATTCAATTTTTAATTAATTAATTTTTTTACTAAGGGTCAATATCATTTGACTGATGATTGATTTTGCTTGTTGTAAACAAAACCTGCTTCAGAAGGGGGAGTTTTTGCATGGAGAAGCAGTAAGAGGAGGAGTTGCTTGACCCACTCTTCCTCCAGCTGCTCTTCTTCTTCTTCTTCTTCTTCTTCTTCTTCTTCTTCTTCTTCTTCTTCTTCTCCCCCCCCCCAAAAAAAGGGTGTCCCACAAAACTGGAAAGCTGCATGTTTAGCCTGGCGTTCAGAGAGAGAGGAAAACAGTGGCTTTTGCTCTCAGGGCTTAATTTGCCTCTGGGAGAATTACAGTGGTGGATTATTCAAGTCTCACTGGTATTATGTTTTGCAACACACACCCAGCTGCCCAGTAAACCAGGAGCTGGGGAATTTTTCCCAGCCTGACAGCCGCATTCCCTTCCAGGCAGCCTTCTAGCCACATGCCAGGATGGGTGGGGCTGCAAGAAGCAGAAGTGGGCAGAGCAACAAATGATAATTTAACCTTTGGGCAGTGGACCAGTTTCTGTGGACGCTCTCAGCACATGCCTCTTGGTCCTCCATCCAGTCAACCAAAGGGTTCAAAGGCACCTTCCGGCCAGGCAGAAACACTAAAGGAGGATTCAAAGCCACAGCCAGTGAGGAGTGTCTCCTGAGGGGATAGGTGCAATTGGTTGGAGCTGTCAGTTTGGGAATGTGCCCCTTCAAAGACAAGCTACCCCATATTCATACCCTCCAACATTTCTCCTATGATAATAGGGACATCCAATTCTTTTAGAAAAAAATAACTGAATATACACACACACACACACACACACACACACAATATCAGATGTCTTCTAAAGGTTGTATCTCCTTGGCTCGAGGGACTCATAACTCCATGCCCTCCAACATTTTTCTGATAAAAATAGGGATGTCTTAAGGAAAAGCGGGACATTCCAGGATCAAATTAGAAACCGGGGTGGCTTCTATAAATCTCAGATTGTCCCTGGAAAATGGGGACACTTGGAAGGCCTGCATATTTCATATCCTTCCAGAAGGCCTGGAGTTTTGGAGGAGCAGCCGTGGATGCCATGGGGAGAACAGAGAGTGCAGTGGAGCTTGTGACTGAAAGCTATCCGGGCAGGCCCTGGGGTGCTCTTACACAGCTGGGAGCGTCTCTGTTAATATTAGCCCCACCCTAGGGTGGGGTCTTCTCAGAACCGGAGCAGACATGGCCCAGCAGGAAGAGGGATGGAGGAAAGACAAGGAAGAAGGAGCTGGGAGAAGGGAGTGGATAGGGAAGATGACTGCAATGCAGGCAGGATCAATTTGCAGGTGGTCGTTGCAGGGTGGGCAGGGGCAGGCAGAGCCGAGACTGAAGAAGGGGCAAAAATACAGGAGAATGAGGCATAAAGTGAAATGACACTTAAAAAAACAAAACAACCCTCCTCAGATTTTAGGTTGAGGAAGTATGCACACAAAGGCAGCACACTGACACACTTTTGCGGGCCTGAGCATGTGCCTGACCTGGCAGACTGCTGGCGCCACCCATGACGTGGAACCGAAATCTGCACTTGCTCAGCTGCACATTATTTGCCTGGTGTTAGCGCCCTGTCCAGAGAGAGGGGTGGGGAAGAGAAAAGGAAAGTCCACACAGAGCACAAACTACAGCACAGGCTTGGTTTGTTTATCGGCCATTTTCCTTTCCCAGGGAACTGTTGTTCCGCGGAAAGGCTTAGGGCAGGGCAAGCTGACCTGGGGCCCTCCTAGTGCCCCAGTTCCCATCAGCCCCAGCCGGCCAACTCAGTGGTGGGAATCATAGTCCAAAACATCGGGATGACATTTGGCTACCTCTGAGCTAGCAGTATCAGAGAATCATCTAGGAGAATTCTCAACATGGTAAACAAACAGAGCTGTTATGCAGAAAATAATTCCCAATCTCTGTTTATTATCAGAGCCAATAAACCCAGTTTCCAGAGGCAGCTCATGAGAAGAAACCACAGAATAAATAAAAGAATGAGTACAATTTGTTATGCTGCCTCTTTATCACATTAGTGCATGTTTATCACTGCCCTAGCCTTCCCTGTGACACAGGGTGCTACAGAAATCAAGTTGTTGTTGTTGTTGTTGTTCCTCACATGAGGTAAAGCAAAGCAAAACAATTACAAGGGCAACATGTCTGGTCTGCTCACAGGTAAATCCCACTGAGTACAATGGGCCTTAACCCTGGGCCAGTGGGTATAGCAGGGAATACAGGAAATGTTGCTGGACTCCAACTCCCATCAGCCCCAGCCAGAATGGCCAATGATCAGGGATGATGGCAGGTGGAGTCCAGCAACATCTGGAAGGCCACAGGTTCCTCATCCCTGGAGTATTGGATTGTGCCTTCCAATATATAAAATGAACAAAAGCAGCACAGGTTGTCAAAACCCTCACCAACCAAACAAAATACTCTCTCAGAGAATAAGATATTTAAAACCATCTGCAAATCGTGCTGGATGAAAGTCTCTATGACAAAAAATAAAATAAAAAATCCATTAAGATTATTGTCAGTCCCCCTTTGACCGTGTGTGGGATGGCCTCCCTATTACTGTCACTGGAATTTGCTTGCTGGGAGAGACACGAGCTAGTTTATTTGTTCCGTAAAGTGGTAAGATGTTCCCTGCCCTGTACCACTTCACACTGCAGAGGGCAGTGTAGTATGCTGAGGTTTGCAAGTTTGAAATCGACTCTTCCAGCACACAGAAAACAGGCGTCAGGGAGAAAGGTTCAGGCTGGTGCCTTTTGGACACATTGCGACCCAGTTGCAGCAACAATGAAGTCCTGTTCCACCATGTGTGCATGTTCTAAGATGGCAGAGTTTCACAGAGGACTATGCTGTATGCTTCCCCCACCACCACCACCAAATACTTTGTATCAGATCTTAAAAGCTCTGCTCCAGATGCTCCTTCAATCATTTGTATCAGTGTCCAATTCTGTTTGGTATTAAAACAGGAACAGATCGATTAATTATACACTTGGAGCTGTACTTTCCTCACTTCTTTATTACACAGAACTAATAAATAATAATATTAGGGACAGTGGGTGGCACTGTGGTCTAAACCACAGAGCCTAGGGATTGCTGATCAGAAGGTCACTGGTTCGAATCCCCACAACGGGGTGAGCTCTCATCGTTCAGTCCCAGCTCCTGCCCACCTAGCAGGTCTAAAGCATGTCAAAGTGCAAGTAGATAAATAGGTACCACTCCGGCGGGAAGGTAAACTGTGTTTCCGTGCACTGCTCTGGTTCGCCAGAAGTGCCTTAGTCATGCTTGGCCACATGACCCGGAAGCTGTCTGCAGACAAACGCCGGCTCCCTTGGCCTATAGAGCAAGATGAGCGCGCAACCCCAGAGTTGTTCATGACTGGACCTAAGGGTCAGGGGTACCTTTACCTAATAAATAATATTGCTAAAGTACATAGTACGTCTTACAACTTACAAAGTTTTGGGAGTACTTGAGTTTTATAGCTAGCCATATATCTGATCTGTTTCAGAGTTTCTTGCCAAATGTCTTCCGGCAGAACATATGAAAGTTGTCAGATGTCAGCGTAAAGGGTCCCGCTCTTTTAACACCAGTCATTCTGCAAATTATAAAAACATGTTTTTGTAGTGTGGGAAACCGATACCAACAGAGCTGGAGGTGTGTTTTTTAATATAAAAAAAATTAAGCATTACATTGGCCAAAGGAGGGGTCGTTTTGTGCTTTTGCAATGTTATCTCACAACCATCTCTTTCATCAAACATCATTTCTTCAGAAATGCTTGATATCAATTATTTTTGTTGTTGTGGGGCAGTAATGCCTCTGAATACAACTTGCTGGAAACAATAGGAGAAGGAGAGTGCTGTGTTCCTTGGGTCCTGCATGTGGTAGGCCACTGTGAAAACAGGATGCTGGACTTGATGGGCCAATGACCTAGGCCAATCTTGTTTTCCATTGAGAAAATCAAATGACACTTCTTCTTCTTTTTGGCTTGGTAATCCTCTCAATCTAAGAGACATACTCGTTCTGCTACAGTAGAATCGTAAATCTACTTTTATTTTTGTGCATCTTCCCCCTCCCTGCCCTCTCCTTTACAGATGCCCTGGCACTGGAGTGCCACAGCTGCATCGACTTGGGCGATGGTGGATGCAATGCAGAGAATATGAAGAAAGTGGAGTGCCCGGCATCTACCCACGTCTGCGTGGAAACGGTGGCAGCTGTGGAATGGAGTGAGTAGGCAGCCCGTCATCTTCAGTCTCTAAACCAGGGTCGGGGAAATTTGTGACCTTCCTGCTGTTGGACTTCAGATCCCATCAACCCCAACAGCATGGCGATGGTCAAGGATGATATCTCTATCTTCCACAAAAGAAGAAGTGCCAGAAAAGTTCTGCACTCCAGTCCCTTTCCTCTGTTCCAAGTTGGACAGGAGGTGCTGGTTGTAATTGCTCCATGCTCAAAGGAACCAAGCTATTTCACACCTTCCAGGGAGAAGCTGTTGGAGTGAAATCTGAACTACTAACTACTGGCTCAGATTTGAGTAATTGGTTCAGCTGGACACCCAAGGTTGCAGAGTCCTGCCTTTTGCTCCCTTGAAATGTGCAGTTTAGCCCTCTGAGTAGATCAGCCTTTGGGAAGTGCCTCTTTGCTGTCTCCCTGTGTAACCTCTGCTTGTCCCATTTGCAGGCCATGGGAAGTTCTCGGTTGGCGAAAAAGGCTGTGGGTTGGGCATGCCAGGTACCAACGACAAAGCAGTAGATGTGCACGGCATTCTGGCCTTCTCTCAGCTGCACCAGTGCAACAGCAGCTACTGCAACACCAAACTGGACATCAAAAACCTGGAGCTGGAACCCATCGGTGAGAATCTGAGCCCCATGCAGGAATGAAGGTCCTCCTTTGGATGAGAAATGGAGCTTATACCTTCTCATCCTGTTGGGACAAGGAGTTGAGTCAGAATACTGTTGTGAGTTTGGGGAGGGGAGGTTAGGCAGTGGCGTAGGAAGGGAGGTGTGGTGGGTGCGGACTGCCCTGGGTGTCATCACTGAGGGGGTGACAAAATGGCTATGAGCTATGTGAGTCTGTGGCATTTTTACCTCTCAGGTTAATTCAGAGAAGCAGTCAGCCCAAAATGAATGCCGAACAGAACAACAAACTATATTGCTGGAATCAAGAGCAAAGACACTGGGTGCCACACCGCAGGAGGCAGCACTTACTGTGGGGCCACACGTCTTTCCTGGGAGTGACGCAGTGGCTCGGGCACCTGCAGGCTCCACGCTGCCCAAAATGGCAGCATGGGGCTTGCATCCACCTGCCACCTCTCCCTCAGCCACCCTGCAGCTGGGGGGGCGGTGGCGAGACTTGATGCAGCACGCCCTGCCTCAGCTCGCCCCGCCCAATGGGTGGCTTGCCCCGCCCCCGGGCAGAGGGCACATGAGACACTGTGGGCACCTGAGCGGCTAGCTATGCCGCTGGGGTTAGGCTGTATTCCTGATTCCTGGATCCAGCAAGGATTCAATTGTTGGAATAGCTAGGCCAGCGCCTAAGTATGCTGGCTGGAGCATATGGGAGTTGTAGTCCCAGGTTGGCAAAGCTTGATTTACAGTATGCAGCCAGGTGTTTCATCCATGCTAGTGCCTGTTGCTTTTTAAATATATGTATATGCATCCTTGGTTGCTTCTAGGTAACGAGAGTGCCAGGGTTGCGAATGGCGTGGAATGTTACAGCTGCTACGGCAATGAGTGTTCACTGGACAACTCTACCACAGTCAAATGTTATGACTCTTTCCGGGGCTGTTTCCATGGAAATGTCACAATGAAAGCAGGTAAGGGCTCCGTCGGGGATCTAATCTAGCTATCATTGAATCTGGGTCCTTTGTGCATTTGCATGGGCCTGGTGAAATTTGGCAGTTCAGATGCTGGAGCTTTGATCGATCAATCTCTTTGTGACAGTCAAGGACCAGCAGTATTCAAAAATGAAACTATAAAAATAGTACCTAACAAAACAAAACGGGACCATAACAATACAATTACTAGGAACTGCATCATGTAATAGAACACTAGGCATCAAAAGCAAAATTATGACTTTGCTAGAATTAGTCCCTGGCAAGTTTTACATGCAGCCGTACAATATCTAGCCACCCTGGAAGGAGTGGATGCATTATTCCTATCTGAAATGAGTTTTTAAAAAGGGATAAAATGCATCCAGTAGCCTGGGAGTTTCTGTAAGAGGGTTTCCATAAAACTCTCAAGTGCTGGAGTTTCTTACCTGTAAGCAATCTTCTTGATTTTGCTGGTTTAAGGGGCATGTTGTACCCCAGAGCAAGGGAGGATTTGACTGATGCCTCTTGTTTTTGGGGTGAGAGAAAAACACTGGAGTAAGAGGGTCAGACCTCATGATGTGTTTGACACTGGACTGGATAGATTTGGGCTGAATCAAGCATGTGCAAAAGAGATCAGTTACCCTTCTTCATGCTGCCGTTATTTTTATTTATTTATTGAAGTTCTATGCCGCTCTTCATCTGAGAAAAACAGGGTGGTTTACAATATTTTTAAAAAAACACAACCCAAAATGAATAACATCGCGATCTTTTCCAGGGAACTTCTCACTGACTAGGCCCCTCAAGGGCTGCGTCCAAGATGAGGACTGCACCAAGGTCACGAAAGGTAGCCCAGCTATCACTGTCGTGGGTTCCTGTTGCTCTGGAAGCCTCTGCAATGTCGACCTCTCCAACAAAACTTACTTCGCTCCCAAGATCCCACGACTTGCAGTCATGCCCGGGCAAGGTACCAACGCCACTGTGGCTGCCACCACTGCCACCACCACCACCACAACTTCCGCACACACTCGCAACAGTGCGCCAGCCCCTTCCACGGTTGGCAAGCCAATCCGTTCCGTTGCTGTGAGCCCACCTTCAAGTAGTCATGACGACCATGACCACGACCACGACCATGACCACGACCATGACCACGACCACGACCATGATCATGACCACAGTGAGAGCCCAGTGAGAGATGGGAACAGAGACACTGCTGTGAAAGTTGAAGGGCGTCAGAGCCAACATCATACAAAGGGGGATGCTGCAGGCTTGGGGGGGTCAGTCTTCCTGTCCTTGTTGCTGGCTGGGTTGCTCCTTTGAATGAAAGGAGAAGAGATGGTGTTCAACCTCCTCCCTTTCCCCCTTGCTGTTTCAGTCCTGCCCAAATACATTTGGCCCTTGTCTTTTCATACAACTTCCCCCACTCAAATTAGGCTTCTGCCTACACATGCTTTGAAACCACCAGTTTTGCAGTTCACATGGTAAATGCTCTTGCATAACACACTTTGCTTATTGGAAGCATGCCCTTATTTGCACACTTCTCCTTCGTATTTTTTTTAACCTTGCTTTCCTGGCAGACGCCTTGTAGCACATGACTTGGGGTAGCTGGAACTTGCAGCCATTTTACAAGGCAAAGTTCTTCTGTGTTATGCTTAATGTGTATCCTAAGACAGTTCTGCACTGAGAAAGCAAAGTCGAGTTCCATTTGTGTGCGAGCCTTTTCGTGGGCTCATGACATTGTGTTTGGTGCCAATACAATGGCAGCCATTTTGTACCCATCTTTCTCGATGGTGTTTACCTTGAGGCATTCTTTAGCTCACCAAATAAGTTTTCTCTCATGGTCAAGGGGCACTGCTCTCTCCTATGCTCCACCTGTATCAGTCTACAGTATCAGATTGTTTTCAGAGGGCTGTATTATCTCATATGGGCTTTGGGGGCTGACAGAGGGCTGCTAAGCTGGCCTCCAGTGTCCAGACAAATGCAAGTCTTAAGGCAAGATAGTCTGATGGACTGCCAGATTTCCTTGGAATCCATGAAGATAATTTGCCTTTTCCAGAGTGTGATATGAATAGTTCCTGGAGGTCTATATATAACCATTCTAGGGCTGGGCGATATATCAATATATAATCCAAAACCGGCTTGAAGTCCATATCATGATATCAGCTTCATAGTTTCTGATCTGGCAATATATTGCAAATCATGGTGTGTGTGTGTGTGTGTTATGCAAAAATCGCAATGGGGGGAAAACCGTGAAGCCAGCCAATGCCTCTACATAGCTCCATCCTTATTTCAGACATTGGAATATATCCGTATATCGCAATGTCTACTTGGTGATGTATTGCGATGTTGAAAACCAGATATCGCCCAGCCCTAAACCATGATGAACTCTTCCAACTTTTAGCGTTTGAGCATCAGTTGGGCTAGGAACCAGCCAGAGCGACTGCTTCCTTCCTCTCCCAATTCTGTGCATTGCTGAGTAACAGTGCATCCCCATTCACTCTCATGCATATGTTCTCCCTATCTCTAGCGAAGGCCACCAACTTGGATGGCTTCAAAAGAGAATTGGACAACTTCATGGAGGGTAAGGTAATGTTCTGCCTCCAGTGTTGGCCACTGTGAGAATAGGGTGCTGGAGCAGATGGACCTTTAGCCTGATCCTGCAGGGCTCTTCTTATGTTCAGCTAGATGCTATGGAAATCTTTCATAGTAGCAGTAATAATTTAGATCAAAGGGCCACTGTTTCCATTTCCTTTCCCTCCCAGTATTTTATCTTTTTAGCATTTGACAGAGGTCAGAAAAAATATGTTTTGGGTTAACAACAACAACACAAAGCTATGAAAAAGACCGAGCTGTTGATATGGGACCCAGCGATTTAACTATTATTATTATTAATGCTGGATTTCAAAATACATCTGTAATCCTGGATGCAGAGAGGATTGGGCCCAGTTTAGGGCTGAAACAATAAAGCTGCCTTCGCCAACCTGGTGCCCTCCAGATGTTTGGGGTAGAAATTCCCATGAGCCTCAGCCAGCACATGTAATCCAAGCTGGAGGGCAACAGCTTGGCAAAGATTGAGATAAATAAATAGCAAGATTTCAAAATTAGGAGCACTTTCTCTTGGGGGTTTGATCCTGAAATATGACAAGTTCGCAAATCATAATATGAAATATATTGAGTTCAGCTTCTCACCTGTTCAAGGGAAACTTTCCTGACTGGTTCAATTAATGACGCTAATCTAAATTTTGCTAAAGTGAAGTCAGGTGCTGTCAAATACTGACGGCCACCGAATTGAGTGCTGCTGCTACTAGTGTGGGTATATTTGAAATGATGATGATAACAATGCAGAATTTTCAGAAACTCATACTGACTATTAAATATTTTCACATCCAGAGAATATACATCATCATCATCATTGGGCAAGATTCCTGCATTGCAGGGGGTTGGAGTAGATGACTCTTGGTGTCTCGTCCAACTCTACGATTCTATGATTTGAAGGGTCGTTGTGAGGTGCTGAGGGGGAAAGTCCACTCAACTCCAGTTGTTGTTGGATTCAAACATGAACCAACAAAAAACACATTTAAACCCAGACCAAGTCAGTGCAGCACCAGATCAACGGATCAGACCATCAGTTGCATTTGGAGGAGATTCAGATAGTTGCCTCACCCCCAACCTCACCTCACTCACATACACATACAGTAGCCCTTAATTTAGGAATTGTCTCTGCTAAAATGTTTGAGGGTCTCTTCCGGAACACTGTTTTATGCCATATTCTCATGGGAAACATATCAGATTTCCAGCAGTTCTTTAAAATGAAGCCAGTTTCATAGCTATAAGTCAGGGATGGGGGGACCTGTGACCTTCCAGGTGTGGTGGAGCTCCAACTCCCATCAGCCTCAGCCAGCATGGCTGGTGGTCAGTGATGGTGGGTGTTGTAGTCTGCCAACATCTGGACAGCCAAACGCTACCCAGCCCTGCTCCAAGTGGTAGGAAAGGTTGCTGCTCTTTTCTCCCACATGTAGAAAGCTTTTTATGTTTTTGTGGTGTTTTTTAATATATATAAATATTATTGCAAGTCTCACATTGTGTATTTGAAGGGTAGATTATAAACATAAATAGTAAATAGATAAATGCAGAGTAAGCCCATTAAGGGTGGTAGACCACACCCTTCAACATTTCATCAATGAAGACAGGGATGTCCTATTCCATAATAATAATTTTACTATTTATATCCCAACCATTAGACTGGGTTGCTCCAGCCACTCTGGGCAGCTTCCAACATATATAAAAACATAATAAAACATTAAACTTAAAAAAAGGACCTTCCCTATATAGGGCTGCCTTCAGATGGCTCGGGGGGGGGGGGGCAGATAACATCATACCTTCCAAAATTTCTCTGATGAAAATAGGGAAGCATGGGACATTCTGGGATCAAATCAGAAACTGGGATGGCTTCTGTAAATGCAGGATTGTCCCTGGAAAACAGGAACAATTGGAGGGTCTGGACTGGAAGGAATGTAGGCACACGGCACATCAAGTTCTCTCAAGAAAACGCCACCGAAATGGAAGAGAGAGGCACCAAACTGGGGCCAGGCAAGACACACAAGATGGTGGGAAAGCTGTGACTTTTGGACACTAGTTCCCATCAGCCCCAGCCAACATGGCCAATGCTCAAGGGTGATGGGAATTGGAGTCGAACAACAGCTGGGGGTCCAGAGGTTTCCCACTCCTACTGTTCTGTTTGCTATAAAGCCCTCAGACTCTTAAGATAACTTTCCTAAGGACCTCCAAGCTGCCTCTTCAAAAAGGGCTGCTCACATCCAAGAGAAATATTGTACTGAATAAGTATTTTAACCATAAGCTCCTGGACGATACTTTTTAAATAATGCTTTCAGCAAGTCATATCTGCCACTTGTTGAATCTCTCTGACAACCCTTTGCTGTGTAACACAGTCCTTCCTGATCTCAGTTTCTTGGGATCCTCAGGGATCTAGACATGTAAATGAATCAGCAGCTTGTCTTCTATTGCAATTAGTTTCTGATTCCTCTCTTGTCAAGGTTGGGAATATCAAGGGAAGCATGAGCTGGAGAAGGTGGAACAAATAAAGATATTGCACTTTGGCTGATGGAAGTCTGCAGTCTACCATTTTTTAAAAAAATAAAAAAATAAAATGTGTGGGGAGCTGGGAGACCCATATCAAGCTACAAGGAAGGGCTGCCCACTTGTGGCAGGCTGAAGGCAGGTCAGGTTGAGGGAGTAATTTTGGAAGGGAGCTGGGTAGAATCAACATCAGACTTCAAGGAAGGCCTGCACAGGCCACGGGGTGCTCACCTGTGCCCTAAAGAGTGGTTTTCACATGATGGGCTGGTGAAATGATGTTGAGAAGCTTGTTTGTATTGTTCCATGCACCCCAATTTCTGAGTGGTTAGAGACTCCAGGGGGGACCAGAACAAACCCATGGTTTCCATGGAATGAAGGTCCATGGAGACTGTGATGCTTTTATACATACATACATACATACATACATACATACAGCCTGAGCATAGAATAGAGGGGAATCACAGTAGATCTTGGCTTCCCATGACTATACATTCCCAAGGAGATCTCTAAGCCACAACTGTGGGTCCAGGACTGAGGAAGACAAGCTTATGTGTCTCCAGCTTCCAACAACAGCTCAAACTCTCACACACTGCCTCCCATCCTATTGTTCTCCATCCTAGGACGATGTGACAAGTGAGGTGGGAAAAGGCCCAGCCATTTGTCTCTATGGCAACAGGGCAACGCTTTTGGTCATGTAAATGGTGGTACTTAACTAGCCAGCTAGGGCCTTTATCTTACAGCTAGTTGGACTGGTTCAGTAGGTTTCCTCATAGATTCTAAACTCGCAGATACATGATCACAGGTTTCGAAGAAACTCATGGGAAGAAACCCCACCCGGAAATCTTATAACAATGTTATATGTCTTTCCTGACCTCTATGCTGTCAAGGACAATATACACACTCATTTTATACTGTAAGAGAGGTTAGGGTGATTCACAGAGAGAAGCCCAAGATGATATTATTACAGTGGTACCTCGGGTTGCAGATGCTTCAGGTTACATACACTTCAGGGTACAGACTCCGCTAACCCAGAAATATTACCTCGGGTTAAGAACTTTGCTTCAGGATGAAAACAGAAATCGTGCAGTGGTGGTGCAGCGGCAGCAGGAGGCCCCATTAGCTAAAGTGGTGCTTCAGGTTAAGAACAGTTTCAGGTTAAGAACAGACCTCCAGGACGAATTAAGTTCTTAACCCGAGGTACCACTGCATTATTATTGCCTTATTGGGAATTTGAATCTGGATCTCTGTGGTCATAGCCAGATACTCTAACCACGACACCACATTGGCTCAAAAGCTTATCAGGAACAGCTCAGTAAGAGGATCAGTGCTGGTGGGCAGTCACCTCTGAAAGAAAGTGCTCCTTGACTTTTACCTGAAATGAACAGAAAGAGGGGAGTGCTGATTATGTTCTAGAACAGGGTGAGGAATCTTATGCCCAGGGTCCAAATGCAGACATCGATCTGGCCCAGGCTTCGTCCCCTCCTCAGCCACACCCCTTCACCAGCCCTGGAAGGTTGTCCAGAATGGAAGAGAATGGAATGGCTTGAAAAAAGTTCCCCACCATCATTGATAAGGTGTTGTCAGTTCTCCCCTGAAACACACCAAAGCTTCAGGATGGGAGTGGGGTTTGAACAGTTCCTTGGCAAATGGAGCAATGCTGGATCCATTCCCTTGAGGTAGAAATTGCAGATATCCAGTTCCAGTGCAAACCTGCCTCCCCCACTCAAGTTTCAGTTTCAAACCTTTTGCTTTTTGAAATATACTCAGAGTCAAGAGTGAATTTCATGCTCTTTATTCAGCTCATAGTGGTGAGGAGGGAATGGAAGTCCCCTCAAAGTATCTGCTTTATATACATTATTTACACAATGGGCTGCACGTGATTGACTAATTCCAGAATTCTCTTGTAGGCCAATCAGGTTGTGGACTCACTTCTATCTGGAGCTGGATTGGGTGGCTCCTGCCGACCAATCATACTGCTGCATTGTTCTAGGACCAATCAGACTGCTGCATTCTGAATCCTATTGTTCTAGGACCAATCAGACTGCTGCATTTTGGATCCTATTATTCTAGGACCAATCAGACTGCTGCAGTTTGGATCCTATTCAACTCAGTACATAACACTTTTAATGTGGCCTGTGGTTGCCAGACCCCTGCTGCGTCCTCACACTTCACACAAGCCAGCAAAGCTGAATAGAGAAGACTATTCAAACCACTTCCTGATCAGGTTTCAGGTCTCGACATGAGTTTAACTAGTATATGTATATAAATAAACACAGAGACACAAACACAATCATCAAAAAAAGAAAAGTTTAGCTAGATCTCAGGTGCTGGGTCCTTTTTTGAAAGGGGTAGAAGCACACAGTGCTTTTTCTGGGGGGACACAGAGGTACGCATACCCCTAAACATTTCGTGAATCTAAGTCTGGCCTCATTGAGGGGAAATATTTCAATATGAGTAGGAAAATGAGATAGAGAAAACACAGGAAGCATACTTTTTTGTTTTGTTTTGTTTTAGCAAGCAGCTGATGTGGAAATGGGAACTGGTCGTTTTTTCCCATTGGATCAAGAGTAGCTTGGGGATGATTCGGAGCTGGCAGAGAGGAAAGGCTTAAAATAATGCCCCACCCACCCGTAATTCTCACACCAATCTCCTGGTGCGGGTTGGGAAAAAAGGAAACAAATAAAATTGACAAATTTGCCCATATTTAGTTGTGGCACACATGTGTGGTGTCCTCCATTAACAGTTTCTACAGTTTGCAGGTGTGCCCATGGTCCGCAAAGGGTTGGCAACCCCAGTGTGTCCCATTAGTGCTTCTAAAGTAAGGACTAGCAATTTCATTTTATTTACTATGCTTATAACTTCCTTTCCTTCCACCATGGAACTCAAGTTAACATAGACAGAGTTCCTGGCTGGTCTCCCAACCAGGCACTGATCAGACACTGGACCAGCTTACCTTGACCAAGGGTTGCTGCATTAAGGTCCCCAAAGAGCTCACCTTGGTCACCAGTGGGAGGTGCCACCAGATCCCTCAATGGCCCTGTTTAATGACAGAACGAGGGTATGGGAAAATACATAAGAAGATCCATTCTCTACCATTCTGCTCCCCACAGTAGCCAATGAGGTGCCTCCAGGGAGTCCACAAAAATAGCCCCCACCCCACCATGTATTGTATCTGAAGTTAGAGGCTCCAATGAGCTCTCATGAATCTGTCTAATCCCTTGAAAACTAATGGAACTAGTCACCATTGCATCTTGTGGCAGGGAGTTCCATAGGTTAAAGCCCACAAGACTCCTGCCTTCCTCATGGCGAAGGCTCCAAAATCCCCTGATCATTTCATTTGCTCTTTTCAGCACCTTTACAGCTTGGGATGGGGTGTTCCCAATTGTGCACGCTATTCCAAATTTGGTCACAACAACCTTTCATGGGGTCAAATGCCAGTAAAGCAAACTAAACAAATCCCAGGGTGATTCTTCACAGGACAAGCCTGATTTATATGACTTTTACAAGGATTAAGGTGAGCAGGAATTATTGGCAAGATTCAAATAGCTCCCAAAGAGGGCTGAACAATCTCAGGCTCACATTAAGCCAGGAATGGAGATCAGCTAACATATTGGCTGCAATATCAAAAGAGTGCTTAGCTAAGGAAGAGGGAAAGATACAACAAGATAAATACAAAAAGGGGGTAAAAATGAATGACATGCCAAAAGCGTACCTGGAAACTCTGCCAGGGCCAACCAATCAGAGACTGTGCTGCTGCTGCTGCCCAAATGCTGTCCACCAATGGAGGGAGCCAATGAGCTTACAATGACAGAGAAACACACCCGGCACACAACCCTTTATCAGAGGAGAGAGGATCCTATGATCCTCCAGGTGTTGTTGGACTCCAAGTCCCATCAGCCAATCGGGGATGATGGGAGTTGGAGTCGAACAAGATCTGGAGGGCCACAGATTTCCACCCAAAAAAATAATATGGTGCATTACATCAGCCCTCATGACATAGCCAACAATGGCCCTAGTATTGCCTGTCCCCAACTATCCCTGAGGCAGGGACTGGCAGATATATTTGTCATTATTCCACTGCATTAATTGTATGATTCCAGTTACCACAATCTGGTTCATCTGGAAAAGAAGCAAAGCATTGGAGGCTCTCTGATTGGCTTGATTTATGTATGACACAGGTGGTTAGGGGGCTGTCAGGAGGGACCTGCTGGATCAGACCAAAGGCCCATCTAGTTCAGCATCCTGGTCTCAGTGGTCAGCCTGTGGGAAGGCCTGCAAGCAGGAGCTGAGCGAATTCCTCACATTCTTTCATTTTATGGTAGTAGGACACCTCCTAGTTTATGTGGGGAAAGTTATAAAAGGAGAGCAGCGAAATGCGGGAAGAGTGTACAGTGGTACCTCGGGTTACATACGCTTCAGGTTACATACGCTTCAGGTTACAGACTCCACTAACCCAGACATAGTACCTCTGGTTAAGAACTTTGCTTCAGGATGACAACAGAAATCGTGCTCCTCCGGCGCAGCAGCAGCAGGAGGGCCCATTAGCTAATGTGGTGCTTCAGGTTAAGAACAGTTTCAGGTTAAGAACGGACCTCCCGAATGAATTAAGTACTTAACCCAAGGTACCACTGTAATGAAGTCTAACAAAGCATACCCTCCAACATTTCTCTGATGAAAATAGGGATGTCCCAAGGAAAAGGAGGAGATCCTGGGATCAAATCAGAAACTGTGACAGCTTCTGTAAATCCGGGAATCATTGGAGACAACTCCTAGGGGCGTGGGGGCTTTGACCCCCCCCCCCATGGTTGATAGGTATTCCCATTCAAATACTGTGTGCACACTGTGTCATGTAATCAATTATGTGGGGCTGGGCTTACCTGGCCCCCCACAATATTTTATTCAGGTTGGCACCCCTGCCAGGAATGTCCCTGGAAAATAGGGAAACTTGGAACAACTGACAAAGTTCTGGCTTTTCCCATGATGGCTATTATATAAGGATTTCTTGTTGTTGTGGTTTTGAAATA